GTTCTGCTCTGCGTTTTAGAATCCTTTCTTGTGCTACTTTGCACAGGCGGTGTGGATTCTGGTGTGTGCAGTGTTACAGAGTGTTTTAGGGTGACTTTACAGTCTCAAAACTGATGCTCCGTATTACTGTAGAGGTTTCCTTGTTTTGGAGCCTTTTTAATGTATCATAGTGCTGTCCCTGCAGTTCCACGATCTGCTCTGCGTGGTTCCCGAATCCAGACTCTAGCCTCACTCGACAAGCCTCTCCTCATCCGTAGTCTTTGCTCACTGCGTCTGGGAGTCCTGCTGGCCCCGTGCTGATGTGCTATCTGCCAACAGACACATTGGTGGGAGACAAGGGAGCGGTCTGTTTCCTTGACGATTCTCAAATATTACTGTCAAGTCCAGACGGGTTCCGAGTGGTGGTCCTCCAGAATAGCCACTGGTGGGTCCAAACAGCCAAAGGGAGGAGGGAGGCCCTCAGGTTAGCAGTGCAAGTCTATATACTGCCCACAAGGTCACCACCTTAGAAGACAGGCCGTCCTCTTGTCCTGGCTGGTGCCCGGGCACTAGCCGGCAGCGAGAGTAACACTAGACAAGGGTGGGATCTAGGATTGGGGCAGCAGGTGAGCGGGAATCTTAACCTGGAGAATTTGCCACCTGATCCACGGGGCAATTGTGGAAAAGGAAAATAAACCCAAAATAAATGCCTCCCAAGGGCCTATGCACTTTTGTGACCTAAATTAGTTTAATGGAAAAGGTTTCCATCAGTTAATCTCTGCAGAAATGTGCTTCTCCTTTGTTCAGAGGAGGAAGGTGGCGTCTTCACGTGGCTGCTGTTGGCGTGTGCGTGCTGCAGGTGACGTTAAAAATGCCTGGCTGACTACAAGGACAGGCTTTTAAAGGGGCTTCTAACGTGGCCGGTTTAGTAAATCCAAGCAGTGTGGTGGAAGGCACACTTAATGAGTTAGAATGACTGAGATGGTGCAGTGCACGTCTGCGTGCCAGGCTCCCAGGAGGAGCTGGGGACCTGCGTCCCGAAGGGGCTGCACTGACTGGGTGCCCCCCACCAACGCTTCTCTCGCAGGTGGAAAGGGAATGGCTGCTCAGGGCAATTTATTGATCCAGTTGTTTTTAACGGCCCGCCCCCCCCCAGTACAGGCGATAAGACACGCTTAAGCCCCCCTGCTTTTGTGCCCCTCCTCCGTGCTCCGTACAGACGGCCCCGAGGCACACGCGTCTGCCAGAACGCACCTTCAGAGCCCGCGTGGCGGCCCGTCTCACGCACGGCAGGGTGTGGCCAGGAAGGACTGGTCCCTGGAGGAGGCCGCATGTTGGTAAAGGAGGCGGTCAGTGGAAGAGGGACACCCTTAGCCGATGGATGGACGCAGTGAAGCCACGGTGGCTTCCACCCGGCAGGGAGTGAGGGCGGAGCAGCGATGGGTGATGGATGCTGGACGGTGGACATTGGACGGTGGACGGGGCTGTTCTGCCCTCAGGTGCGAAGGCAGAGTTTGAGGCCTTTACGTTTTACCGGGTAACCTGTGTTACCAGTCGGGTCATGACACCTTCAGAGAAGTTTGTTTCTTATGTGTGAAAAGGCAGGTGCTTCCGTGCTTGCCCTCACCTGCCGCGCCAGCCACTCTCCTCGGGCGTCTTACAGCGCGCTGGGGACAGAGGCTGCGCTGGGTCCGAGGTGGCAGGGGCGGGTGTTCCGGGCTGGCGCTTGAGGGCCCGGAAACCCATTGCAGGCCGAGCTGCGACGCACGCACGTCCGGGAGTTCTGGTGGAGCTCCAGCCGGTCACGCCCTCGAGTCCTTAGCCACGTGTTGCTGCTGGTGTGTGCTGTCGGGTCAGAACCTGCACACAGCTGACCACCAGGCCGTTCGCAGAGGCTGCAAGCCATGCAGGAGAGGCCCAGCTCTTCCGTGGACAGCGGTGGACGTGAACCGTGAGCCTGAGCGTCGACTGGGCAGAGTCTTGCTGCCAGGCCACCAGAGCGTCCTGAAACGTGGCTGAGGCCCCGTTTGCATTGTGGGTGCTGTTGTTTTAGTGCAGTCTGAGCTGTGCTCAGTAGCGGCTGCGGTTCTGCATAAACCTTCTCGAGGCCCAGTTCTCGGGATTTATTGGGGAGTTTGTTTCCTCTCTCGGCGTGCCGGCTCTCGTGGGGCTGTCTGGAGATAGGACCACATCTGTGACTACAAGGTCTTCACTCTCTGGCCTGGGAAGTTTGGGCCTTAGCTGCTGAGAAGAAGTGATGTTGGTGAAAGGGCACCTGGTGGAGCTGAGGGTCCCTGCCCTCATTGCCCTGAGGCACCTGTGTGGGACTGAGTGGTGGGATTGGCCCTCCAGCCGCACAGTCACAGCTGCCTCCATCTGTCATGTTTAGAGGCAGGCTTTCCTGGAGGCCGTGCAGCCTGGGTTCTTTAGAGACCTTGGGCTTGTTGTCACCGTCCCTGCAGTCTGAGCAGACGTGTGCTGTGTTCACCCGTGCCCAGGTCTGCTTGCTTTTGCAAGACTGGGTGTGATGGCTGTGGTTTCTAAATTCCTGTCTTGCTGGGCCCTCAGCTGAGGTCACCATTTGGTGTGTGCGTTCGCCTGTGAGCCCGTGAAGCACAGATCTCACCCTCGCCGTGCTCTGTGCCAGGCTCACATCTCCGATATGTGCAACCCTGTTACAGTGGCTGTGTCAGTCATCTTCCTGAGGGTCTCTCTTCCTCTGTCCTTGTCCGGACTGACCCCTCCAGACAGCACGCCCACAGGATGTAGGATGACAGGTGAGATGAAGTCTTGCCATTCTTTAAGGAGCATCCTGGTTGCACTTTCTTGAAGGCAGACTAGTGTGTTCTTCATATGAACCATGGAGTAATTGATGGGTGTACGGTGGGGGGCACTAGAACCGGAGTAGGAAGGAGCTGAGTGGGACAGAGCCGGGGGGACCCCGGGACGAGGGCTGAGGTATGGAGAGTTGTGGAATGCAGGATGGCTGCACAGGGCAGCTGGGAGCTGAGAGGAGGCTGCTGGGTCTTCAGAGAGAAAGTAGTCCGGGTGCCATCGCTCCACTCGGTGCCCGGTGAGCCTGTCCGCCTGGCTAAGGAGCGGCATGCCTGGTGAAGCTGGGGACCCCTGGAGTAGCACATGAAGATGTTGGGCTTTTTTGTGTTTGGGTTTGTTTTTTTTTTTTTTAATTATTTTATTGGGTTTTTGGTGAATGTCTGCACAGCAAGGTCTGTTCCCATTTGACAGTTTCCAATTTCCACATAAGTAGTTGAGTGACATTAATTGCGTTGATCACATCCTGTTTGCTGTCTTCCCAGCATTCTGGTCTCCCTGCCCCTTCTCTTTGAGAGCTGGTGAACCTTCTGCCCTCCTGTTGATGGTCTGCTGCATGGCCTCGAGCAGCAGCTTCCTGGGCTCTGGCCTTGGTGCCAGGCAGGGCCTCGAAAATGGTGTGAGGGAGGAATTTTTAAGGCACTCTGCTTTGTGACTGAACCCTGCCTGGAGAGAGGCCATGTGTGGCCTTCCCGAGAGGATCATTCCCAGGTCACCGCGTGGGCATCTCCCTGGGCTGCGTGCTGCCTGGGGGTCGGGTGGGGGAGAGCCTGGGAGGCCTGCGTGTGAAGGGCCGAGGTATAGTTTGCACAGTTCGACAAGGAAGCTTGCCATTGGCTCTGCACCTGCTCGTGAAGGCGTCCTGTATGTTGGAGGAGCTCTGCTTGGCCAGCTTCAGGGGCTGGACTTTAGAAGAGGCTACAGGATGCACTTGAACCTCTAGCCTCATGGTTTTCAGCTGAGCCCTTTAACTGCTGACACCTCCTAATTCAGTTAAAAGTTATATAGTTGTTAATTCCATCTTGAGGCTGCATTTTCCTTTGCCCATGAAACAAGTCCTTGTCAGCTCATGGTGAAGGACCCAGGCGGTGCCCTAGTCGAGGGCTCAGGCCGTGACCTGGTCGAGGGCCCAGGTGATGCCGTGAGTGGCTCATCTTCCAGCTGAAGTGAGCGGGTTGAATTTCCTAAGCAGGGCCTCAGAGGAGGAGCCTGGTGAGCTTCTGCAGCGCCTCCCTGACAGCCCCAGGGAGCAGTCCACTCTGCACCTGCGTTGGCCAGGGGCCACACTTACTGACGATGGCTGCCAGAATCAGGCCACGCTTGTCATGAGGGTTGGGACGTGCACGGGAGGCTGGGCTGTGACGGCTCCCGAGGGTAGGGGAAAGGTTGTGCCCGGCTGGAATCGTGAGATGGGGTGCCCGGCTTCCATCACCAGGTTCTGGATGGGTTCTGGGTGTAAGCTGAAGGTCGAGGACTTGGCAGGCAGCTGTGGAGGTAGGAGAAGGGGCAGTTGAGAAGTGTCTGCGAGCAGCCCAGTCTCAGCGGTGTCCGGCAGGAGCACACGGTGCTGTGCCCAGGCTATAGTGGCCTCTGTGCAAAGGAATGACGGGGTAGGCCTTGTCACAGGCTCCTGGTTCCCCTGGGGGAGGCGCTGCGTGCACGGGGGCTCACCTTAGAGAGGATTTCATTGTTGGTGGCTTTGCTTGACTCCACACGGATTTAGTTACAGTGGCTTCTGCCCAAGCGGCTTCTGTTTATGACCAGTTTACGGCATGATGAGGGGCTGACATTTTCCTCTTGCTTCTACAGCATCTGACCCTTTAGAGTCGTGGACGTGGACTTGGGTCCTGGGCAGCTTGCTAGGACTTTGCCTTTCTGCTTTTAAAACAAGAGTTTCGTACTCGGGCTGTGTGGCTCGGTTATTTGGCAGCTGGGTCACCTGCATCCATCCATGAGGCCAGAAAGGCAGGAGGAAGCAGTGCAGGGACGAGACCTCTGGTGCACTGCCCCCCAGATCACCCTGACAGTGGGAACCCATACTTCTCTCCCAGTGGGTGTGCTGACGAAGCAGCTGGAAAGACGCTCAGCAATCTTCCCGTTCTCATCCTTAGAAAGAGAAGAGATCTTCAGAGAGGGAGTTCTCACAATTGTCATTTATTTTCTTCTAGGATTTGGAGTTCCATGGAGTTATGAGATTTTATTTTCAAGATAAAGCTGCTGGGAACTTTGCGACAAAATGCATCCGTGTCTCTAGTACTGCCACCACCCAAGACGTGATCGAGACACTGGCGGAGAAGTTTCGGCCTGACATGCGGATGCTGTCGTCTCCCAAGTACTCTCTGTACGAAGTGCACGTGAGCGGAGGTTAGTGTATCGGGGGGCTCCAGCTGTCCGCCGGCACTGCTCTCTGTTAGGGATGGGGTGCTAACAGGCTGGCCGGACTCCGTCCACTTTACGCTTCTAACACCTATTTTTGTTACATGTTAGAGTGAATCAGTTAATTTTCCATTTGCTTTTTTTCCTCCAAAGATAAATACCATGACATTTCATAGTTAATTGTCCAGCAGGCCTGCCTGTCACATGGACAGAGTGAGAAACTCGCTGCCTCTCTCGTGCATGGAGTGTAACACGCTCTGCCTTCCTCATCCTGCAGCACTGTCTGTTTTTCTTTTCTGAAGCCCCTTACGTATTTAGTGGTTTCTCTTTAACACTTGAAATTTGTGAATGATTCTATGTGTGTTGTTACCAAATGACAAACCTGTAAAAAGATGACAAGTCCCATTTGAATGCTGCAAATAAGGACCGTCAGTCACACAGCACAGACCCACTTGGGATCACATGCTTCACCCAAGATTTTATATTTTTCACCTCATTAGGTCTAGTTTTGAAACAGGTGAGTGCTTTTATAGTCTGTGGAATTTTTAAGTGTGACCACTTCTGTGGAGACAGGTAAGGTAAGATGTGAAAGGAGCAGTGGTAACCTGTGCAAGGTGGAGTCTGACGCCAGCCAGCTTTATAAAGGGGAACCGTCCCCATCAGTAACATCCGCAGTACCAAACAAATAGCTCCGTAGTCAGACACGCCACCCTGCATGCTCCTGCTGCACCTGTTTCTGTCAGTGCCGGTTCATTGTACATTGAGTCACAGACTTTACTCAACAGCTGTGGTGTTTATTAGGTAAATAGATTGGGGAGTGAGGGAGGCAAAGAATATCTCACAGTGCAGGTCCAGGTTTAGTCCAGCAGTCCCAGCCCAGATTAAACAAGGTACAGTTCCTCAGTTCGTGAAAGTACAGGCTTAGTTCAGCAGCATAGATGCTCCTCCGGTTTCCCCAAGCACCCAGCAAACTTCATCTTAGCACAGACATCCCGCCAGGCACAAGCTTTACCTGTGGCTCCATCTCCAGGGTGCCTCTGGTTATACCTTGCCACAGTCTCTTCACCCGCTCTCCACCACCATCTTTCATAGACCCACAGCCTTGTGCTGATCCTACAGGTATTGAAGATTTGCAAGACCGTGTTTCCACAGTGGGTGACATTGCCCTGTGTCCTTGCTGATGACAGTGTGGTGACGCTGACACAGCGGCAGAACGAGGGGGGTGGCTGGTGGGGCAGAGCCCCAGGGGGGGACACAGAGCCACGATGGGGGGACAGTTTAAAAAGGGATCCGTACATTAGGGAATATTTTCATTGTATTAGAGTTTTGCTTTTCGCAGTCCTGCTAGTGTTGGGTTTAGAATATAAATAATCAGATTATGAAGCATCCCTCCCCCATGTTTCTGATATAGTGTGTTCCTGGAAGTTCTTATTTTTGACTAATGTTTACACTAACACCACAAACTTGAAGGAAAAAGGTAGGGTTAGGCAGGTGATGTGGGGCTTGTGTAAATTTGTAGCTGTAGCTTGTACTGAAGTAAAGCACAGCCCCTGCTCATTTACTAGCATGGCCAGGTTCCGGAGCTCAGGCCATTACAGGAAGTTGATGTGATGTCCAAACGGACGTAACTGCAGTTTCACACTGCTGTCACATTACGTTGTCACTTAACTGCCACTCATCACGCCCAGCAAAGCAAACACGTCCCTTACCTGTCAGCACCTCTCCCCTTGGCCTGCGCTCAGTGTGTGTCAAGGTCAGAGTAGGTTTCCACAGTGGGGTCACCGGTGTGACCGAGTTAGGATGGGCCTCGGGGTTCGCAGGGAGGAAGCGGCGTCCCTGGGCAGACGCCTCCTCGTGATGCTGTGGCCTTGGACCCGCCAGGTCCTGACCGGGGAGCTGCCCTGGAAGTCGGCGTCTTGGCCGTGGGAACCTGTGCTCTAGCCTCAGTGGTCGGCAGGGGGAGCCCAGGATCCCTGGCTGAGCTCTGGTGTCCTGCATGGGTCCCACCAGGCTTGAGATGCTGATGGGCAGTGCTTCTCCTTGACCAGTGAAGGCAGCCAAGAGGGGCAGGTGCACAGAGCTGGGCTGGGCTGTGCCAGCTGCACCCCAAGACTGAGGGGGCAGAGGCTGCAGTGTCAGGTGTGTGTGACCAAGGTGACAGCGTCAGGAGAGCATCTCACACGAGTCAGTGGGGTCGGTGACCCCTCGGCGCGCCCTCGATTTCCTGGTTGTGTTTGAGCCCATTGGATGCGTAGGCTCTGTGTGCATCCCCTGCTCTGCTGACGTTCTCGGTGTGAGGGGTTAACAACGGTTAAAGCGCTGACAGACCTCCTGACCTGCACTTCAGTCTGCGGGTGGTTCCTGAGCACGTGAGGCATGTTCACAAAATCCAACGCACTGGAAACCCCCGCAGTACTCATGCCAGCAAATAACCATGGCTGCTCTGCTCTCTCCTGTCCTGTTTTGAAGAAGAAAGAAGATTGGACATAGACGAGAAGCCTCTCGTGGTGCAGCTGAACTGGAACAGAGACGACCGGGAAGGCCGATTTGTCCTCAAGAATGAGAACGACACTGTCGCTCCGAAGGTGGGTGCCCTGTGTCCTGGGGGCGGGGGCCAGGGCCTGGGCCTGGTACGGAGCACGTGGTGGGATGTGCCTTGGGCTGTGCCGTGGGGTGTGCGGTGGGTGTGCGGTGGGCTGTGCCGTGGGCTGTGCCGTGGGCTGTGCGAGGAGCAGAGCAACTCTCCCCTCCCCTCCTTGTCGAGAAGCCCTGTCTTCTGCTGGGCTCACGCGTGCTTTGGCCTGGTGGCCCGATCGGCACCTTTCTTTTCTAGAGAGGAGTTAATGCATGCTTTTGTTACTGAGTATAAATGCTCAGAAAAAGTACTTCCAGTTTCCTTTCCCCAAATTATAAAGTCAGTAGCTGTTTTGGAAAAAATGTAAAATTTTGACCACTTCCTTACGTGAGCCCTTTGAGGGCCTGGTTAATAAGGGGCCTCGGAAAGCTTTGTCACAGGGTGGTGGGTGTCCTCGGGCTGCACTGAACGATGGACAGACGTCTGCACTGTTCTCCCTGTGGGAGATGATGGGTGCAGCCCATGCACCCCTACTGCAGTGCTTGGCCTCCATCCCTCAAGCTCAGTACTGACCGGAAGTAGCATGGACAAAGGTTGAGAGAAACCTGTGCACCTCTGCTCACTTGCTGACGCGGTCGGGTTCCAAAGCCCATGCTGGTGTGTGAAAATGGAAGGTGACAGCCCAACTGGAGGTCACATCGTCATTGGACCTCTGAGCCACTGAGCCCACCCAGCACCGAGCGTCCCCGAGTCCTCAGTGCCCAGTGGTCAGAGTGGCTGCATGCCACGTGAGCAGAGGTGTGCTGGCTTTGCTCCAAGTGCCTGGGAGGCTGCTGCCACTGCTCTCAGAAACAGGAGAATTGTGCGTGTGTATGTGTGTGTGTGCGCGTGCGCGCGTGTGCAGTCAGTGCCTCAGGTTAAATGTGCCTTTGACCTAATTTACCCCGCGCTCTGGTCACATGCTACATTTGCAAGAGCGAGTATCCGTTTTTCTGCTGTCCCTGCTTTGTTTCTTTCTGCTCTGCGGACGTCAGCCGAAGTATTGTTGTGTCTGACTTGCTGTCTGCTGCAGGTTTGCACTGACGTGCGTGCGTTAGAACTAGGCCAAGCAGGATGTGCAGGTACCTCTGAATGAAAATGTGAATAGTAACATGCTTTCCTGTTGAGCTAAAAGCACAAGGAAGTTTGCTTCTCCCAGGAAAGTGACCACTGTTTACTTTTTCTGACACTTTTTTTTTGGAAACTAATGAATTATGCACAAAAATAATTTATTTCTGTGCTACTTGCAGTTAGTTAAAATATAAACTAGGAATAAATATGTAACCAAAACAAGAAACTAGTACTTTTGCACACACGCAGCACTCACTGTGGGCTTCAGCAGAGCTGTTCCATGGGCAGTAGCCTTGCTTCTGCAGTTCAAGGAAAAGCCCGTGAATTAGACCCTGGCGCTTGGTTAGTTCTTAAGGAACTCTTTCTTCCAGTTACTTTGTATAAACTATATTTCGACCGATTGCGTTTCCATTCCTATGCCCTTTCTGGCGTTGGTGGTTTTTTCAGTTTGCTGGCTTAATTTAAATGGAAATAAAATTTGGACAGTTGGCAGCCTGCGTACTCGTCAGCCAGAGAGATGACACAGGAGACGCCCTGAGGGTGCCCTTGCCCTGGCAGTTTTGCATTTCAGTGTGCACGTTCAGGCGCATAGGTCCCACACTGCATGCTGGCCCTCGCGCGCGCGCGTGTATACGTGCGTGTGTGTGTGTGTGTGTGTGTGTGTGTGACACGTACGTGCACGCACGGTCTAGCCAACATGGTGATGATGCTTCTTTTATTAGAAGGCTCAGAGTAATGGACCTGAGAAGCCAGAAAAAGAAGGCGTAATCCAGAACTTTAAGAGAACTCTCTCCAAGAAAGAGAAGAAAGAAAAGAAGAAGCGAGAGAAAGAGGCCCTGAGACAGGCCTCTGATAAAGATGACAGGCCTTTACCGTCGGATGACATGTAAGTTCATTTTGGAAATGCTCAGCATGTCTTTGTTTTTGGTTGTATTTGTTTTTTTTATCTAGGTAGAAGCCTTTTATTGGCATGCAGGGATGAGAAGAATAGGACTAAGGAGGCAGAAATGAGGGTAACTAGTAGTAGATTTATTAGGAAGTTACCTCCCCAAAGGGATGGACCTTCCTCCTTGAAAGGAGGTCAAGGGAAAAGGCTTCAGCATGTCTTTGTGCACCCGACCAAAAGTTGACAGTTTGTCAGACCCTGACAGATGAACCCATGAGAGAATTGTGAACAGGATACATTCAATGTAGACATTCATCTCTAAGTGTGCCTGGGTTCTGTACTGAGGGAGATGGGATTGTAATCCCCGTTGAAAATGTCTACGTGTCAGTCTTTATACCACAGTCTTGCTTAATTGTAAATGAAGTAAACACTAATTGACATTGTGATTTTTTTACTTGAGAGAGCAGTGAGGACAGAGTCCATATTGTAGGCAATCTTGTCATCTTCAGCTGGGACTGGCCTTTCTCTTCTGTTTTTGTGACTTGACACGTTGGGATCCTCTTGCGGCTTTGTGTGGGCCGTGGCTTGGAGGACTACTCACTAACACCCACTGCCCCCGGGTGGCGCTGACCACAGGTCTCTGGGTTTCTGAGGCAGTGACTCTGAGGCAGGTGCCAGCCTGTCTCCTGAGGGTTGGCTGGGGGTTAGGACTGCAGGCCTTGCTATCAGTAGCCTAACCCACGATACACTCGGCTGCTAGAGTCCCACTGGAGGCCTGCGGTGACGCTTTGTGCTCCTGAAACACACAGCGCACCTGCTTACAGGTTGGCTAGGCTGGACAGAAAGCCACGTGTTAGGCTGTGATCGTTTTCTGTTGTCACCACACCTCACTGTGAGGGTCCCTGCCTGCCCACCATACCTGAGCACCTGGCCCAGCGGCTCAGGGTAGCTGCCTGACTCACGGCTTTCTGTCATTTCCTTCAGCCTACAGTTGTTTTTCACGTACTTCCCAGCCTTCTCTTCCTTTCGTCCTTGTTGTTGTCGTGCCATCGAGTTGTCTGTGACTCATTGCGACTCCATGTACTTTAGCTCTGAAACCTGGTCGACTGCACTGATCCCGTTTCTCCAGTCACTGAGTCCGTTCATCTCATCCAGGGTCTTCCTCTCCTGCGCTGTACCTCCTTGCTACATGCCCAGAGTATGTGAGACAGAGCCTCAGAATCCTTACCCCCAGGGAGCAGCCTGCTTTCACCCTCCCCAGGATAGACCTGTTTGTTCTCCTGGCAGCCCGTGCTACTATGTTCAGCACTCTTCACCAGCACCACAGCTCAGAGGCATCAGTCCTTCATTCACCCTTGTTATTGTCCAGGTCTTGGAGCATAGCAAGTAATTGTGAAGACCATGGCCTGGATCAGGCACACCTTAGTCTCCAGACTGACGTCATTGCTCTGTGGCACTCTGGAGAGTTCCCTGACAGCGACTTCCACTGAAAGTAGTCTTGTGGTTTCCTGACTGCTCATGCCAAGAGTTGTCTTAGGGACCGTCACATCGACCACTCCTAGCAACCCTGTGAGCAGTAGAGTTGAGCCTTGCCCCGTCCTGTGCCGTCCGCAGCATCTCTGTCATGCTTAAGTCCCTTGTGGCAGTCACTGTGTCATTGTGGCAGTTCTTCTTGTGAGGGTTTTCCTCTCCTTAGCTGACCTTTCCCAGGATGATGTTTCTCTCCGAGGACTGGCCTCCCCCGACAGCATACCCAGCGTAAGTGAGACAACATAACCGCCGTGCCTTTGGCAGTCGGTGGTGTAGTCAGCACCCTTCACCAACACCACACTCGAAAGCTCTGGGTTTTTTCTTCTGTATTCCTTAGTCATTGCCTTAGGTGTCAGGTGAATAGGTAGCATTTAAAGAGACCATGGCTTGGATCTGGGCACACCTTAGTTTTTAACGGATATTACTCATCTTTAGCACTTTGGAGAGGTCTCTGACAACAGATTTCTCAGTGCAGCACATGCTTTGATTCTTGGCTGCTGTAACCATGGGTATTGATGGTGGATGTAAAATGAAATTATTATTGACAGCTTCAGTCTTTTCTTTATCTATCATGATGTTGCCTCTTGGTCCATTGGTGAGGATTTTTGGTTTTTTGATGTTGAGGTGTAACCCATATTGAAGGCTAGAGTCTGTAGCAAGTGATGAAATAGTAATCGACATGCCATTTTCTTGCTGAAGTAGAGAGATGGCATTCCTTTTTGACAACCACAATTGAGAGAGTTTTCCAGAAATGGAGAATTAAGTCACTGATGGTCATGTTAACCGAGCAGAGAATAGTCTGGTTGACATTTTCTATGCAGACACACACTCTTCCCATGTTGAACAGAGAATTTTTAAATAGAATCATGATTTTCGAATTGTTTCTTGCCCGTTGACTGTTTCGAGCCAACGGTGCGGTGTGTCCTTGCCCAGTCTTCTTCCTGGCACTCTCGTTGGCATCCACAGTTTTGGTATTGCAAAGAAAGGATGTTTGTGTTCTAGAAGAGTGGCATGGTGACGTGATATTCTTTGTCTCCCCTACTCCCCACCTTCCCCTCATAGACCCCATTGTTGGTACCTTAACTGTGAGTCAGCAGTGACTAACTGAGCCCCCTTGCCCTTGCGGCTCCAGAGGCACCATGCAGCTGGGCTGTGGGCTCTTCGTCTGCTTTGTGCTCTGGGACAGTGAGAAGTAGGCTTGTCTTACTCCGCCTGGCCTTTTCAGAGACGCTCCTGGCTTTGTGTGCCCGTGTCCTGTGTCCTCTTTACACAGGAAGGCTATAAATTGCATAGGAAGAGGTGCCCATCTTTCTTCCTCAGCCCCTGGTGCATTTGAACTGCCTTTGCTCTATCACTGGGGTCCCCCCACCCCGTCTTCATTCTGTGTGCTGTCAAATCAGAACCTACCCGTAGCGGACCCGCCAGCGGGTTTCCACAGGCAGTGACAGCAGGGCGAGTCTCCATCCTTCTCCCACACAGCAGCTGGTGGGCTTGATCCTACCAGTGGGCAGAGCTGGACAGTGAAGAAGGAACATTGAAGAAGAATTGGGGTGTGAATTGTGACCTGGTAAAGAATGTTGAGTATACAGTGGACTAGGAGGAGAGCAGACAGATCTCTCTTAGATTTCCTTGAAATGGTGATGTAAAGACATGTTCTCGTGAACATGTTGTCGAGAGGAACCAGTTCCTGGAGAAAGGACCTCAGACTTGGCAAAGGAGAGGTTGGGAAAGTAGTCCCGTAACGGCATGGACAGGCACCGTGGCTCTTCCAGGGCTTACACGTGACACTGACGGGACAGGGCAGGCAGCACTACACTCGGGTGCAGGTGTGGCTGGGAGGAGTTCTCTTTCTAACAGTCTTCAGAACATGACAGAGAAACGACAGAGTTCTGGAGGGTCCCAGGCCGAACCAGTGGGCCACAGTGGAGTCAGCTCGGCCTGGACTCCTTGTGTTCAGAGTGGAGCTGCTTGGCGCTGTTCTCAGCTTTCCCTGGAGACACCTGTGTGCGTCCCCAGCCCCCAGCACTGTTTTGGACACAAGCAGGACACCTGGGCCCTCACCCCCGTGTGTCCCCATTCCTTCCGAGGCACACTTCTGTACCCCAGTATTGACTGGAGCAGCAGTGAGTCGACTTCCCATGAAAACACTTGTAAACATATGACTGTGCTGTTCTCCTTTCAGTGAGAATTCTCGCCTCGCTGCCGAGGTTTACAAAGACATGCCCGAGACCAGCTTCACACGAACCATCTCCAACCCCGAGGTGGTCATGAAAAGGCGCAGGCAGCAGAAGCTGGAGAAGAGGATGCAGGAGTTCCGGAGCTCAGACGGACGGCCTGACTCAGGTACAGCCGTCGTAAAGGGCGTCCATCTGACATCAGCAGTCGTGACCCACTTCAAGTCCTTTTCACAGTCCCGTTGGATTTCTGACAGTTCTCTTGGTGTACTGCTGCAGCCGTTTTTGAATGATATTAAATTTCCTCATTTTGTTGGAATGTGCTCAAATACAGTTTTCTTCGAGTTGAATTTAAAGTAACAACATGTATCTCCTGAAGGACTTCCTCACGGGGACAATTCCTGTCTGGGTGTGAGGGGCCCATAACGATTCAGTCTTTTTTGATGATTTGATTTTGCCTTAGATTCGAGGCATTTACTAGTTTAGTTTAATGGTTGAAATGTCAGATTTCCAGTGGAAGACGTTTGCAGCTGTGTACCCCTAGAGAAGTAGCTATGGACTGTACTCTTGGGGTTTGCTTTCTTTACTCAAGTGTGTTGTGGAGCCAGCACGTAGAAATTGTTACTTTTGTATCTGTTGATCTGTCTCAGGACTAAAGAAAGAACCTGGCAATCACTGCATTTCTCCAGCCAGCAGATTGTTCTGAGTTCAGAAGCCCCAGACCCCTGCTTGTTGATCTGGGCTGACTCCCGGTGACCCTCCCTCCCGGGCAGGGCAGGCCCAGGTGTGCTTTTTACAGGTGTTGGGAAGCCATCATTCTGGATGACGTCTGTCATTGGGTGGCCGAGGGACCTCGGAGAAGAGGGACTTTTGAGGTGGCAGAGAGGTCTCAGGTTGAGAGCGCAGTGATGTCACAGGCGTGCTGGTGAGGTTCAGGGTGTGGAAGCTTCTGCTGTGGGAGGTGTGTCTAGTGCAGGAGGACAGTATGCAGGTGGTCAGAAACGTCAGCACGGGGCCCGTATGGGGCTTGCACGTGGCACAGACAGGGCGTCCAGGTCCCAGAAGTGACAGCGGAGCTGGAAGAGAGCCTGGCCGTGCAGGACAGAGGGGGGCAGCAGTCCTGGATGGACAAGCGGCCCTGTGCAAGGAAGCCGGGAAGACAGCGTGCCCGAGCTCCATATTTTTCCCAAGCGAGTTACTCAGAATGTTGGTCTTCTCCCTCGCCTCAGCTGTGGGCGGAGGGGTGTGGTGATGGTGGTCAGGCTGCCGTCTCTGAGCCCCGTGGTGTCTGTTAGGCACATGGCACATCTCATCGGGGTTGTGGCTTTTACAGTGACCTGGAACGTGAGCAGTCGCGTGTATCAGTTTTCTGATTACACAGAGTCCTGTAGTCAGTCTGCTAACAGGAATGGCCAGCCTCCCTGGGGCACAGCTGTCAGACATCTGTGCTAGCCAGAGGTCAGCAGTTGAGATCCACCGGCTGGCTGGTGAGGGAAACGTGCTGGCCTGCTGCATGGAGGTGGTCAGCCTACAAACCTGCCCCGCCCTGCAGTGTCCTGGCAAGTCCCACAGCAGTGCCCACTCTCTGGTACCAGCCGCAGCGGTTCATGTCATTATGGGGCTTTTTGGTGAGAAATTTAGGAAGAGAATTTCCAGGACTCAGTTGATTTTCCCCTGCACTTCACTGGGGTGGAAACACTTAATAACGTTGTCAGTGTGAACCCATCTTCAGTTTGGGGTAATGACCGTGCCTTCACTTTGGAGCAGACACGTATATCTCTCCAAATAAGCTTTAAGCTATACTATGTTATTGTTAGGTGCCATCAAGTCAAGTATGACTCATAGCAACCATATGAACAACAGATTTGAACCCCGTCCTGTCCTGAGCCAGCCTCCCCGTCTCTGACACCCTCGAGCCCATGCTGCGGTCACTGGGTCCGTCTGCCTTCCTGAGGGTCTTCCTCTCCTTCCCCCCCTCCACCTTTCCAACGGTGATGTCCTTGCAGGGTAGATAAGCTGAAGCTTTGCCGTCCTTGCTTCCGAGGAGTACCCTGGCTTCACCTTCTCCAGGACAGAGCTGATTGCTGACAGTCTGCGGGCTGTTCAGCACTTTCCCTCAACAGCGCAGCTCACAGACTCCAGTTGCTCTTCTCTCGTCCTCATGCGTGATGACAGACCTGCTCTGAATCAGGCACACCTTAGTATTCAAACTAACATCGTTGCTCCTCATTAATTGGGAGAGGTCCCTGACTGCAGACTTCCCCAGTGCAATACCTCTCCTGATTTCCTGACTGCTGGTACCAAGGGTGTTGATTGTAGATCCATGTAAGAGGAAGTTGTTGATAGTTCCAGTCTTTTCTCCATTTATTATGTTGTTGCCTGGTGGTCCAGTGAGAAGTTTTGTCTTCTTGACCTTGAGATGTAGTCTGTATTGAAGGTTGTGGTCTTTGATCCTCTGTAGCAAGGGTCTTCTGTCCCCCTCACTTTGAACAAGCAAGGTTGTGTCACCTGCATCAGTGTTCTCTTCCCTTGCAGCCAGTGGGGAGTCCTAATCCCCCTCTGATGATGATGTGGTTTTCTGCTCATAAAGTGAAAACCACCTCTTAATTAGACTGTCCGATTATTGCTTTCTCTGTCACAGTGCTCTGACACCATCTGTGCTAAAACCCAGAGGTGATTTAGACAGGGACTTTGAAATGTTCAGACCCACAAGAAGGAGATCAGAAACATGACATTCATTCTGCTCCTGAACGAGTTTTGTAGCTAATGTCTCGGCCCGTCCTTCGGAACTTCCCCTCAACCTCAGTTACCTGTAGTAGGAACCACTGTGACTTCTTAAAGGTGTCTTCTGGCAAACCTGCACTTAGACCTTCTGAGGCCTGAACCACCTTTCTGTTCCATGGTCTATAGCTTTGGGCTCTCAGATTCTTGTCTGGGCCATTGGTGCCTAGGAGGTGTTTGTGTTTCGTGATTGCCTGCACTTTTCTCAGGACCATCTTCAGTCTTCAGGACGGACAGTCAGTGTTATTGTGGTTTGTGTGTGAAGCACATATTCACACAGGAAGCTGTCTTTACCCTGGTGGAACACCCTCTTTGAAAGCTTCAGGTCTGTGTTTGGAGCGAGTGTAGAGTTAAGTAGGGAGGGTTTGGGCATGACGTGTCCTTTGTACTGGCCTCCCCACGATTGTTCACAGTCGCTGAGGGTCAGCACGCCTGCAGGTCATTTCTGGCAGGAAATATAATTGTGTTCGCTGAACGCATTCCACTTCAGCCTACCTGCCTGCTTGTAAGTGGTTGGAATGTTGCTATTATTGTTATCAGAAGAGAAATTGGGCTAAAAAAATATCTTATTTTTTTTCTTCAGGTGGAACACTGAGAATTTATGCAGATAGTTTAAAGCCAAATATTCCCTACAAGACAATCCTGCTGTCGACCACCGATTCTGCAGACTTTGCCGTGGCTGAGGCGTTGGAGAAGTACGGCTTGGAGAAGGAGTCGCCTCGGGATTACTGCATCGCCCGGGTGAGTGCGCGTCTCCAGCGCTGGGCATGCCGGGCTGGGTTGGGTCAGACCTGTGTTGGCATCTGCTCTCTGGTTTACTTAGAATTTGATCCACTGTGAAACCATGCGTTCAGTCTACAGAAAAAGCAGCAGTTCCCTTCCATTGCAGAAGGTTTATGTCATAAATTACAGAGGCATTGGAAGATGAATTTGAGAAGATGAAGTCACCCTCTGTTCTGTTTGTGGATGTGGAGGCCTTCTTGCCAGTGGGCCACCAGAGCTCTCTGTAGCCCTTCTGAAGGACAGTCCCTGTCGTGTTTGGATGCACAGCCCTCCCGTTCTTCCTTTGGGTCGGGAACTCGCCTTTCTGTGTGGAGTCTGCCTTGGCGATGCTTTCGCTGTGCCTTTCCCCAGTGTGTCAGGAGGGGCGGAGTGCGGTGTGCTCTGTGCCGGTCGGTGTCCCCCTGCTGCTTTGTGGGGGACAGGTGGGCATTCTCCTCTTGTGCAGATTTATAGCCTCAGTGACCCCGTGAGGTCTCCCTGTGTCGGCACTGACCTGATGAAGCAAGAGCCCTCGTGGGGGTCTGGGCACTTGCTGCTCACTGAAGGGGTGGTCTGAACCCCCAGCCGCTCCGTGGGAGTCTTTCCGTAGCAGCCACAGCCTCGGGAACTGGTGGAACAGTGTGCCCTGGCCTGGAGTCACCAGAGTCAGAATGGACTTGTGTCGGGGTTTGGGGTCATCATGAAATCATCAACTGTTAAATGAATTTCCGTGTTGGGAACAATAAGGATGGCTTAGGACAGGACAGGGTTCAGATCTGTTCTTAGGGCCGCTACCCACAGCACTTCCTGTTGCCAGCAGCTGGTTGATATGTTCACTAGGCAGCCATAGTGTCTGAGAGAGGAGGAGGATTGTTTTACCTTAGTAATGAAAAAGAAAATCATGTTGTGTACTTCTTACATGGTTTTGGTAATTAAATAGAATGAAATTTCCAGTTCTAAATAAAACTACCTGATGAGTCAGTCAGGTATATACTAATTTACTTTTAGCCAATATTTTCCTCAAAATGACTTTTAGAAATGGTTTTTTAAAAATTGTGCCCTGCCCACTTCCACCTGTCTTTTAAAATCTTAGCAAGTGGTTGTTGAATTGTGAAGCAGGGTGGATTTTGATGCCTTTCCTCTGCTGTATTGCTGCACCTCACCGGGCAGTGAATGCGGTGACCGCACCCCTCACGCCTGCATCCCCACCTGCTGGCTGGTTTGTGTCACTGTCGATAGTTTGTAGAATTTTTACATCATTAGAATCCACACAGGACGACTGCTTTGTCCTGTTCTGTCAGTCTGCATGGTGGAGAATCATCTTTTCTTTTGTTAAAAAAAATTTATTTTTCTTTAATTGCTCTTCACAAAAGATCCTTCCCATTTTCTTCACCCCACCCACCCATCAAATTGTGCAACCCTATGATTAACACCCTCCCCCCAGTCCATTCACACCCCTCTATTTCTGCTCTCCCCCACAACCCCCGTCTTGGAGTCTCATACTCATTGTACAATAATGGTTTTATGCAGTATAGTTCACTCAGCAAAATGCTCTCCAGGCCCTCCCAAGTTAGGTAATGATTTACAAAATCATTGCTCCTGCGTGTCGCATAGTATTCCATTGTGTGAATGTACTTCTCAATCCACTTGTTTGTGGTTGGACATCTGGGCTGTTCCTGTGTTCTCATGATAGTGAATAATGCTGCTATGAATATTGGTGTACACGTTTCTGAGCCTCAGTTCTCATTTTCTTGGGGCATATTCCAAGCAATGGAATAGCTGGGTCATATGGAATTTCTCTGTCCAACTTTTTGAGGAAATGCCAAACTGCCTTCCAGAACCGTTGTACAATCCCACCAACAACTCTGCATCCTCTCCAACATTTATTACTTGCTGTCCTGTTAAACTTTGCCACTGCTGCTGGAGTGAGACGGTATCTCATTGTGGTTTTGAATTGCATCTCTCTTACTGCCAGTGATTTGTCTGTTGGCCATCTGAATGTTTTCCTCTGTGAAGTTCTTTCCATGTCTTCTGCGAGAATCACCCTTTGGTTCTTCTGCTGTGGTTACTGATTAGGACTTGGCTTTGTGCATCCATTTTTGGGGTGCTTCCAGTGACTACAGAGACCATCCGTGTGTTCTGTCGTGGGAGACTGGTCACCCAGATGTCGCACGGCTCAATCTCGTGATGACACGGTGTGTCTGGATTTCCTTAAGAAAATGCTGTTGATAAATAATTGATGTTTCGGTGATACCAAACCTTGATGAGTGTAGATTTCTACTAAGCCTTATTTAAAATCCCGTAAACTAAGTCTTAATTATCTTTATATAGAGGCTTATTCTAGATTTTTATTTCCATATTAATTTGAGAATTTTTTTTTTTTTTTGGTTTTTACCCAATGTACTTTGGATTAGAATCGAGTTAGTGTTGGGTTTGGGGGTAAATTTAGACACTGCTTTCATCCCAGGCAGTATTTAATCTGTATGCCTCTGAGTGTGGTGAGAGCCTACAAGAATGTGGAAAGTGAGGAAAAGATGTAACTAAATCAGCCTTGCCACTGAGGTGTTGAAGATGGCAGCGAGTGTTGGGGCAGAGGAATCTTGCAGGGAGGTGGGGAGAAAGCAGGCTGCGGCTTCCTGACAGAGGCCCGGACACAGCAGCAAGAAGCTGGACTCCTGTGAGGCAGGACTGAAAGGGGGGCTGCACCAGGAACTCAGTTGAAAGTTTTTATGAGTAAGAGCCTTCCCTCTCTCAGCCATACCTCCTCCCCCTTGGAAGGATGGAGTAAAATGGATGGGGGCTTAGCAAGGGAGGCCTTGAGTGTGGGGACACTAAGAGCAGCAGGGTACAGGATTCAGTCAGGGGTAAATCTCCACCCACACCGCAGCCGTGTTGGGGGAGACCTCTCAGAAGAAGCTGGCGGCTAAAGTTAGGAGGTTAGATCTGTACTGAGACTGACCTTTGGAGGTTCGGGCCGTAATTCCCTCTGAGGTCTCCCAGCAGTCAGGCTGCCCACACACGGAATCAGCCTTTGGAGACTCACTGTTAAAGTTGAGTGGAGCCAGGGTTCACAGTGTGGGAACCGTTCTCTTTGAGAAAAGCCTTTCAGATGAAAGTTCAACACAAATAAAAACTTTCAAAGGAAAATTACCGTGCAGAGATCAGCTGAAGTGTCCATAGCACAGAGCTGCTCAGATGAGGGGACACTGACCGCATGGATGTTCTAAAGAAGGACCTTTCGGGAGCTCTAGCTGTTGATTGGCTGATGCTCAGCCCTTGAGTGAGGAATTGTGCGGCCCCAGAGGAAAGGTCAACGGTCAAAGCCTGCGCTCTGTGCGAGAAGGCCTGCGCCTCCCAGCCCGTTGATTAGCTGCCTCTGACGGTCAGCTGTGGAGTCCTACTCAAGATAAAGGACAAGAAGGAAGGACGTGGGTCGGTGGGAGGGAAGAGCTGCTCGACACATAAATAAGCGGTGGGCTCGGAGCCTTGGCAGCTGAGAGGGTAGGAGTTGTGCTGTTAACCCTTGCCTCGTGGACATTTCTATTCCCAGTGACTCCCTGGGGGAGAGAGAGATGGACATACTCCTCCCATAAGAGTTACAGTCTGAGAAACCCAGCAGAGGGTCAGCTGAGTCAGTTCTGACTTGATGGCAGTGAGTGGGAGGGCCACGGGGAATACGAGAGGAAGTGAAGGGGGGACAGAAGACTGAGAACACTTCCTGGAACTTAACAGATTTCCCTTTCAGGTAGGGCAGGCCCCTGCATAATCACAAGGACGGTCACTTAGTAAAGGACTGAGTCACTTTAACCCAGCCCACTGGTGACCAGTTGATTCTGACTCAGCAACACCCCAATGGTTTCCAAGACTCTGTCTTCATGTGGTGGCTTCAGGCAACTGAGCCCACAGGTTAATGGTCGGGCTTTGTGTACGCAGCCATCAGAGTTCCTTAGACCAGTGTTGGCCGTCTGAAATTGCAGAAAATGGAGATAGAGATGGGACCGTGCTCTTGATAGAAAGATTTAAGCTGCACGTGAAGAATTAATTCCACTGGGGAGTAAAATCTGTACCATTCTTCCCCCCACACACACTGTTTATTTAATAATAGGCAATAAGAAATCAAACTTAACAGTCTATACAGTGATCCAAAGTTCATAACTCTAATAAATCAATCATCTCATCCGGGATCTTCTTCTCCTGCGCTGTTCTCCACCGTCTCAAGCATGACGTCCCTCTCCAGGGCCTGGTTCCTCCTTGCAGCATGCCAGAGTATTTCAGCCGGAGTTTTAAAATCCTTGCCTCCCAGGAGCAGCCTGGTCGCACCCTGTGCAGGACGAGCCTTTGTTCTCTTAGCGGCCCCTTAGACAATACAGATGAAGAATTGCTTATTCTGTTGTCTGGAATTCATTTGTTTTCTCTGTCACCTCATCGTCATTTAACCATCTATTCAGTTTTTCAGTTTTATTTTGATGCTTTTTATTTGCTAGATGAGATCTGCTCTCAGAAGAGCTTAACTGTGTTAAATGAAGTCAGAGAGACAAAGATGTAGAAATTGGAACCAAAAATAAAGCAGACGGCCTGCAGACGAGTTGGTTGTGCCTCTGAGTGGCTGTAGAATGGAGAAGCCTGGCGCATAGCGTTGCCCGGGCTGTGCACCTGTGGGAGCGCACGGCCTCGTCTCCCTCCAGCAGTGACTGCTGACTTTGAACTGCTGGCCTTTGGCTAACAGTCAGCTGCACTCATTACCCAGTGTGCCACTCAGGAGAAGGATGGGCAGTGTCCTTCATGCGATTAACTGCCTCTGAAAACCTGCCGGAGGGTCAGCTGTGGGTCGGTTCCGACTTGATGGTGGACAACGACGACACGCCACCATGGCTCCTGTAGAAATCGGGTTGGAACCGACGCATCGCTGATCCTCCAGCATTTCCAGCAGCAGTAAATTGCGTGGGAGGAGACTGCCCGTCTTTCTTCTGTGGAGTGGCTAGTGGATTTGAACCACCAGTGTCAGCTGTGGGTCGGTTCCAACTCTGCGGTACATGATAACAATAACAAACGAAGTAGGAATAGGAGCTTCAAATTGGAAAATGAGGGGTGGAAGTCAAGGAAGGCTTCTGGAAGTGCTTGAGGAGGGTGTGTGGACCTCGGAGGGCTGTGAGCCCTGGGGAAAGGGCTTTCCTGTCACAGGAAGCATGGCATCCAGTCTGCGCTGCAGGTGGTGTGTAAGCTGGGCTCAGGGCAAGTGATGGCGGGGGAGGCCTAGTGTTAGAGTATTAGAGTATTGTGTGTTCCACGCTGAGGCCGGGAAGCTGAATCCACGGAGAGACCGTTAGGACACTTGCTCCCTGATGAGTCTGAGAGGAGTTTCAAGCCTCTGTGAGTCGCATCATCTGTGTACCAGCCTGGTAGAGACGCGTGTGCAGGTCCCATCCTCACAATCACTCAGAGACCAACACTCTGTCCTCGTCTGCCTTCCACACAGTCAGTGCTCAGCTCAGAAGAACCCATGGGGCTGGGAGACAGTCCTGTGTGACTGCCGGTGATCCTAGGTGACGCCAAAGACAGTGACAACCTCAATCCATAGAGAGAAACGCAGCACTGCTTATCTTCATATAAAAGCCCTCAGTATGGAGTTCATCTCGGCATCGAGAAAACGAGAATCTTCACAGATGGGCCAGGAAGCAACACCATGATAAATGGAGAACAGATTGTCAAGAGTTTTGTTTTGCCTGTATTCACAGTCTGCCACTGTAGAAGCAGCAGGTTAGAACTCAGAAGGCGTCTACGTCGGGCAAACCCACTGTTCAGCATTCCTTTAAAGGCTTGGAGAGTTCCGGAGGCACTTAGGAGACAAGGTGTAGGGGACCCAAGTCATGGCACTTTCAGTTACTTCGGATGCATGTGAAAGTTGGGCAGTAAATGAGAACAGAGAAGATTTGATAGCTTTGAATTGTGTTGGCAAAGAGAGTTGAATAGATTGTTGATTGCGTGAAGAAGCCATTCTGTCTTGAGAGCAGTGAAATCAGAATGTGCCTTAGAAGTACTTGGTGAGACTTCAGCCCTTTGGGCAGGTTACTAGTTCTTGGAAAAGGAGAGGGTGGATGAGGAGAGGAAGACCCTTGAGTGAGACGCTCACGGCAGCGGGTGTGTGAGGATGGTCCAGTGTCAGACAGGACTCCATTCTCTTCTGCATGCACCGAACAACAGCAGTTAAGATTGGAAAATAGATGCGTAATGCCTCTTTTTAATAAATAACTTGTTCTGTAATGCATCTAAATGATCTGACTAAAGTGTGAATATAAAATAGACTATCTTAAAAAAGAATAACTGTGGTTTGTGAAGCTCCTTGTATAAACAGTTGTTTGAATTGGAAGGGGAGCTGGGGACCACAGAGATTTGACATAATGAAGTTATTTCATTATGCAAATAATTAAATTACAGCTATAAGTAAGGTATTTTACGTAGCAGTGAGACAGCTGCCTCCTGGTCCAAATACAGGTTTTGCATAAGTGCAGTCAAGTGTTTTGAGATTCCCGTTCTTCGCAGAGTGACTCAGTGACTGGAGTAAGGGGACAGGTGTGTCAGAGATGATGTTTGGCTCAGGACAGAGCAGGGCTCAGAGCTGTTGTAGATGGGGCCACTCAACAGCACATAACAGCAGCAACAGCATCGGTAAGAAATTACTTAGAGGTCAGACACAAGTTTTTAAAGAACTCACATGACTTGAGACCGCTGGGGAGGCTGGTGAATCAAAACTGCCGAGGCCACTAGCTAAATCTGTAATTGGAAACGACAAAGAGTTGTTGGAGCGTCTGCGTCCTTCTCCCGTGGCTTTCCCCGGTCGTTGCAGCGCTGCTCGGCCGGCCGTGTTTCAGGGCTTGTCACTGCACTTGTCCAGGTGAGCCTCACCATCAGCTGTGTTTTCTCGCAGGTGATGCTTCCTCCTGGCTCCCAGCATTCTGAAGAAAAAGGTGCGAAAGAGGTGATCCTCGAGGATGACGAATGTCCCCTCCAGATCTTCCGCGAGTGGCCCAGCGACAAGGGTGAGAGCGGCGGCCGTCATTGCTTCCGTCCTGGGTGCTAGCCAGTCGGTGCGGGACCTCTGGTGGGGCAGCACACCAAAACGGTGGTGGTTTGAGCCCACCAGCTGCCAGTAGAGGAAAAGGTGAAGGTCATGTCTGTGAGGATGGTTGCTGTTGGTTGTTGCTGTTTGCTGGTGTTCAGTGCCATCGTTCACGACTCACAGTGACCCTATGCACATCATACCTGA